GAAAAGAGTGACTGGGATCGAATAAAAACAATGCACGCTAAAACAAAATCTTCAAACTCATCTGAAATTTCAACCTAGGCCTCCCTTCCCACTTCCCCTACTCTGCGAGCTTCCCTTGCTCTGCGAGCTTCCCTCTTTCTGGCTCACCCACCGTCTGCTATGCGAAGCCCTTTGTCTTGCTTACTCTTAACTTGGATTTGGGGACTATGACTAAAATCCCAATGGAATGGAAGTTAGGCCAAATTTTAAGAGGCCTTCATAATGAGAATTATGTTATGTTATGAATTGTTGAATATTCATGCTTATGATACAGTGAATGCTTATGAACTCTTGAATAATTGTGATAAGACGTGCTTGGGTATGAGTGAATGCTTATGCGAGATGCATGTGTCTAGTGATACTTTGAAATGATAAGATTGTGATATGAACCATTATGCAATGAGACATCCATTGGTAGTGAGAATCTGATATGATGAAACTATGATATGAATCACTACACAATGGGTCACCCATTGGTAGTGTGACATGAGATTCTGAGACTTTTGTGGGAGGCACTATGCAACGGGTCACCCGTTGCTAGTTTAATCTGTTCTGATATGTTCAGAAAGTTATGCCGGTAGTTAAGATCTTACCACGACCCCAATGATAGAAATGGAGTCGAGATGTGAATGTGAATATCTAGGAGGGTCGCTCCCCCAGGATCTATACGGGCACTACGTATTGGGTCACCCATTAGTGGTACAATGCCCTCTTGCTTGAAAGGCATAAGGAGAGGGCTGTGTCTTGCAAGACCACAGCCTATCAAAAGCCCCAAAAGACATTGGGGATTGTGTGTGTGTGAAGATATTACAAAATAGGTCATCCATTTATCATTGTCTTCCCTCCTGAGGGAGGGTAGAAGTTCCAAGTTACAAAATTAGCTTGGCCTGATCAAGGCAACTTCTACTTCGGCAGAAGGCGGCACTAAGATGCCTCTACGCACTATGTGTTTTGCCTGAAATTTTAATCTATTTTTGTGACAAAAAGATGGGGTAACTGTTAGGTCATGCTCTGTGTGATCTGATATCTGATTTACACTTATTTCACCACTGCTAAAGAACTGTGATACATCACTCCATGTTTTGACACCTACATGAATTTTGCGCAATTTTATGGATATCCTTGTATAGGTTGGAATACATGATATTGATCTGCTTACTGGGCTTTATAGCTCATCCCTTTGGCTTTCCCTGTGTAGAGTAATAACCTACGGTTTTTTAGGGCGGACAACTGGGCACTCGTGGCTAGTAGTTGAAGATTCAAGCTTGGAAAGAAAGGCCTTATCCTGATAGTAGGTGTCTAGTGGCGGTGGCCACGTTGTGATCTTATTGGAAGTATTGTAATTTATTTATTGGGCCTATAGTGCCTTGAACATATTTGTAATGAAATTGTGGAGACGTATATATTTAAGTTTGTTTTATTTTTTTCCAATTCTTTGTACCTTTATGTATAATTTTGTTTTCTTTTGTGGTTTTCTTTGATTCTTAGGAGAGATTTTAGGGGAATACAAAGATCCAAAAGGCCTTCCCGGTCGATATAAGGGATCATTGGCGCCCGGCCTGCTCTTATCATGGGTTGAGCAACCATTTTGTGGCCTCCAGTCAGGTAGATAGAATTTGAGATTGATGTGGTCCCTGGTACCACTCCCACCTCCAAAGCCCCTTATAGGATTGCCCCAGCCGAATTAAAGGAGCTGAAAGATCAATTGCAAGAATTGTTGGAGAAGGGGTTCATCCGACCTAGTGTATCCCCTTGGGGTGTACCTATTCTGTTTGTGAAGGAGAAGGATGGGTCCATGAGACTGTGTATTGACTATAGGCAGTTGAATGAGGTCACAGTAAAGAACAAGTACCCCTTGCCTAGTATTGACGACCTCTTTGACCAGCTTTGGGGGGCTCAAGTATTTTCTAAGATTGATCTCCAATCGGGCTACCATCATTTGCGGGTCAAGGGAGAAGGTACTCCCAAGACTGCATTTAGTACACGATACAACCATTATGAGTTTTTAGTCATGAAGTTTGGGTTGACCAATGCCCCTGCTGTCTTCATGGACCTGATGAATAGAGTTTTTAGACCCTTTCTGGATAATTTTGTGGTGGTCTTTATAGATGACATTTTGGTGTATTCGAATAACTTAGAAGAGCATGAGCAGCATCTAAGAATGGTCCTCCAGCTCTGAAGTAAAAAACATTGTATGGTAAGTTGAGCAAGAGTGAGTTTTGGCTTCCTAGTGTGGCCTTCCTTGGGCACGTTGTTTCTAAGGACGAGGTCACGGTTGACCCCTGTAAGATTGAAGCCATACTTAAGTGGGGAAGACCTACCAATGTGACAGAAGTCCACAATTTTCTGGGACTGGCAGGTTACTATAGAAGCTTTGTAGAAGGATTTTCAAAGATAGCCCTGCCCCTGACTCGCTTAACCTAGATGGAAGTAAAATTTTCATGGTCAGATGATTGTGAGAAAAATTTTCAAGAACTAAAGAAGAGACTGACCATGGCTCCGATACTGACCTTACTGGAAGGGAATGAGGACTTCATGGTTTACACTGATGCCTCTCATAAGGGCTTTGTTGTGTGCTTATGCAGCGAGTGAAGGTCATTGCTTATGCCTCCAAACAGTAAAGCCGTATGTGAAGAATTATCCAACTCACGACTTGGAGCTTGTGGCTGTAGTATTCGCCTTGAAAATCTGGAAACACTACCTCAATGGAGCCCAATTTAAGGTATTTATAGATCATAAGAGCCTCAAGTACCTGTTTTCTCAAAAGGAGTTGAACATGCGGCAAAGGTGATGGATAGATTTATTAAATGATTATGATTGTACCGTCAATTACCTCCCGGGCAAGACTAATGTGGTAGCAGATGCCTTAACAGAAAGCCCGTAATGTTAATGGCACACCTAATGGTTCGAGAGATGAAATTGTTAGCGGATGCAGTTGAGTGGCACCCAACTCCACCCCTTGGTAATGGGGTAGGTATGACTGCTTGTATAAAGGTGGAGCCCCAACTCTTTCAACAAATCCAGATAGCACAAAAGGGAAATCCCCTACTCACGAAAATTTTGGAAGAAATGAAACTACGGAAGAAAGACGATTTCTTTATGAGTAGTGATGGCTTGTTAAGATTCAAGGATCGGGTCTGTGTCCCGAATGAGGAAGATGTGAAGAGGGATATTTTAGAAGAAGCGCACTGCTCCTATTATGCTGTGCACCTAGGGAGTATTAAAATGTATCAGGACCTGAAGAGAACTTTCTAGTGGAATGACATGACAAGAGAAGTAGCACTATTTGTTTTTAAGTGCTTGACATGCTAGCAAGTGAAAGTTAAGCATCAGAAACCCACCTAATTCTTACAGCCCTTGCTCATACCAGAATGAAAATGGGAGCACATCACTATGGACTTCGTCTCTAGTTTACCTAGAATGGGTGCTATATGTGATAGTATTTGGGTCATTGTGGACCGGCTGACCAAGGCTGTCCATTTCTTACCGGTTCGCACAACCTATACCTTGGATAAATTGACCCAGTTATACATCAAAGAGATAGTGAGGTTGCATGGAATACTAGTTAGCATCGTATCCGATAGGAACACTAGATTTACCTCGAGGTTTTAGGCTAGTCTGCAGTCAGCTTTGGGGACAAGACTTACTTTTAGTACTGCTTTTCACCCTTAGACTGATGGATAATCGAGAGAATTATTCAGACCCTGGAAGATATGTTAAGGGCATGTGTTACTGACTTTAAAGGAAGCTAAGATGACCATCTGCCTCTTATAGAATTTTCCTATAACAACAGCTTCCAAACCAGTATTCAAATGGTGCTTTTTGAGGCCCTATATGGACGAAAGTGTAGGTCGCCCATCTGTTGGGATGAGGTTGGTGAAAGGAAGCTTATAGGGCCATAAATTGTTCAAGTGACCTCATAAAAGATTGTTTTGATTCGAGAGAGGCTTAAGGCAACTCAGAGTCGACAGAAGAGTTACGCCGACAACCGAAGAAGAGACCTCGAGTTTGAGGTAGGCAATCGGCTATTTCTGAAGGTGTCATCAACTAAGGGCATTATGAGGTTCGGCAAGAAAGGAAAATTGAGCCCCCATTTTATTGGACTTTTTGAGAACCTGGATAAAATTGGAAGCATGGTGTATCGAATTGCCCTACCACTAGAGTTGGTAAACATCCACAATGTCTTTCATATATCTCTATTGAGGAAGTACCAACCTGACCCGTCCCATATTCTAAAGTATAAACCAGTAAAAAGCAGAGAGAACTTGACCTACATTGAGGAACCGACTGAGATACTGGATTTGAAGAGTGTAAGTGTTGTGCAATAAAGAAATACCTCTGGTCCGTATATTGTAGCAATACCACTCACAGGAAGAATCAACTTGGGAATGGGAGGATGAGATTAGGGATAAGTACCCCCATTTGTTTGATTAACGAAAATATGATTTCGAGGACAAAATCTCTTTTAAGGGGGGGATGATGTAAGGAGATTTTCCAGCATGGTGAAGTGTGCGGCAATGAGGTACTATTGTGAGCGGCAGTGAGAGGCAAAAGAAGAGAGCCAGCCGCCATGCGCGACAAGGAGAGAGAGGAGGCTGCCGTGCACGACGAGGGGAGAGAGAAGGCCTCTGTGCATGATGAGGGGAGAGAGGAGGCTGTCCTGTGCGATAGGGAGAGAGGAAGCTGTCGTGCGTGACAAGGGGAGAGAGGAGGCCACCATGCATGATGACGAGAGAGGAAGTCGTCATGCATGATGAGGAGAGAGGAAGCTGCTGTGCGCGATGAGGAGAGAGAGGAGGCTACCATGCGCAATGAGGAAAGAGGAGGCTGTCATGTGTGATGAGGAGAGAGGAGGTCGTCGTGCATGACGAGGAGAGAGGAAGCTATTGTGCACGATGAGGAGAGAGAAGGCAATCGTGCGTGCAAGGAGAGAAGCCACCGTGCGTGATGGTCGCAGGCACCGTGCACAACAACGTTGAAGCCCATGCATGCCCTAGGTGCCACTTGTCTATTGCTGCCACTTGTCTATTGCATGTTGTCTCTTGCATGTCACTTGTTCGATTGCATGACACTGTGAGTGCCACGTGGAAAATCTGAGCTGCCACCTCCAACTCTTGGTGTACTTAAACCCCTTCTCTCCTCTTCCAAGCCTTTGTTCTTCCTCTCACCTTTGAAAACCCATTCTCAACATTTGGGGTTGCCACCCCTTGGAGCCATTGTTGAAGAGCTTGGGACTTAACTGTGTGATGGATTTTGGGACACAGTTGAGCACATGTAAGTGGACCTAACACTCATGTTTCCATAGTTTGATTAAAGCATGAAAATTAAGAAAAGTATAAGTGTTATTTTGATGGGAATATGGATGCATGCTAGTGAAATTGTGTGTTTGTGCATTGTTTTTAAAGAATTTTGGTCCTCATTGGCATGATGAATTTAGTACCGAAAATGACTCTGTTGGTCATGAAAATCTGTGGAGGAGTACCCCTGTTTGTCTAAATTAAGATGAAAAATATTTTGTGTTAAGATTCATTTTAGTTTAGAAGTTATTGATTATTCTATAATGTGTGTCAAAACTTTACTGTGAATTTCTAGGGATCCTACATGTTTTTGTAATGAACCTTTAACTAACCAAATGATGTCCAAATGACATAAAAATACTTTTAAATGAAATATCTGTGTGTCTACTTAAAATGTAGTTTTGGAATCATATTTAACTTCCTAATGATTTGAGAAATATGCCCCTATTTGCATACATATGTCACTATTGTAGGTTGCAGTGAATTTCCAGAACTGTTGCTCATTTTGTGCTAAATTTTAATTGGCCAAATGATGTAAAACTGACCTCAAACTACTTTTAAATGAAATATGGATGTCTACTTTAAATTTGGATTTGAAACTATATTGAAATTCATCATAATTTGAGAGTTATGTCTCTGTTTGTGTGGACATATCACTGTTATCAATAGCAAAAATTTCAAGAACTGTTTCTCATTTTGTACTGAATTGTTCACTAAGAAAATGATGTCTAAAGGACATCAAACAACTTTTATATGAATATGGGTGTGTCTACGTCAAATTTGGTTTTGGAGCTAGGTTGAACTTCAATGTGATTTGGGAATTATACCCCTATTTGCATGCATATGTCACTGTTATAAGTTGCAGTGAAACTTCAGAAATGTCGCTAATTTTATGGAAGACTATTCACTAATCCATATGTCTCTGAATAAGGCTAAACCAATTTCTAAGTGAAAGGTGGAAGAGTCTACTTTTAAGTTGGTTTTGGGGACTATGACTAAAATCCCCATGGAATGGAAGTTAGGCCAAATTTTAAGGGGCCTTCATAATGAGAATTTTGTTATGTTATGAATTGTTGAATATGCATGCT